TATCCGCACGTACGCGACGTGCACGATGAGAATGGCGCAATCATGCAGTCTCAGACGGCGAGTAAGTTGATGTCAGTCATGATCGAATAGACTGCGGCCATTCGTTTGGCCGCATTGAGCGAGAAAAGGTCCGAAGCGAATTGTGAACATGTCCACCCGACAAGCAGCTACAGGCCGAACAGCTGCAGCAGCGTCGGAACATCTCAGGATTCGTGATTGAACGATCTTTGCGGTCAGCTGTGGCATGTCCGAATAGATTTTAGCATTCAGCATTACATCAGCCCAATCAAGTGAGCTTCATTTCTGGGGATGTTCTCGTGACCTCAGACAAAATACGATAGGCACACACGACGCACGCTCGTGTTCAGGATGCTCCACACGTACCCAAGCACGATGGACAGCGCGGCAGCCGAAACAAAGGGTTCGTGATTTCCATCCCAGGCGCAACCCCACACGCAAACGCGTAGACCTGTGGGTTGCACTGGTGTGCAATGCCAAATCTGTCGTCAAAGACTAATCGAGTGCTACGTTGAGCCGATGAAAACTAACGACGTTCAAGTAAGCAAGCAAGATGGACCCCCTTTTCCTTTTGGATAGCTTCCTTCCCGATCCGAAGATGGCCCATCAGTCTGGCTTGGAGACGATGGGTATCGTGAAGAGTAGGCGAGACGCCACCCTGAATGAAGTAGCGAGGTCGATTGTGCTGTGCGATCAGGGCCATGCTCACAGGGCTGGAATCGAAGCCACGACTCGTGACTTGGCTCGGAATCAGCACAGTCGCGAATGGGCTCGAAAGTCCCGGCTGAGAATGTACCAGCGCTGGGTGTGTCGTTCGAACGAGCTTTCCAAACCTACTCTGACTTGAGTGCAGCAGCCAGCGCTTCGAAATTCCGAAGGAGGGTCAGCTTCAGGAAAATCTTGTGCAGCACGGCTGAGGGACCAAAGGTCGAGAAACCGCCCCTAGGCGGAGTTGAATGATAAGACTCTGCTCGGGACCGCATACAGTCGGAGAACGGAATCGAGGGGCTTTCGGGAACAGCTGGGAGGGCGCATCGAGACGCCACACCTTTGCGTCACAGCATTATTCCAACTAGTCTTGTCCCCTCCCACGACCAGCGCCTTTGTTGTTCGAGACAGGCCAGGCTAAGGCGTCACACAGACGCGCTGCGATGCCATGCGAGACGTAGATGGATGAGCCCAAGTCTAGCCTTCAGTCCCTTTCAACGGCCCGTCGCTCTTTGAAAGACATCAAGCCTCAAGCGAAGGTTGATATCGATTTTGCATTGGTGCTGTGAGCCCTCATCAGTGCAAGGGATCATGTCGGTCAGCAGCTGGCTAGACCGCGCGTGTGCCCGCGTCAATATGGGCAGTTCCAGAGATCCCCTCACGCTGACCGCTATTGCCTCTGCTTGGCATCAGTGCCGCCGCGTCACAGCAGGCCTGGCATGACGAGGAAAGAGGCGTACGCGCAAAGTAGCAGTACCTGTTTGCACGCTGTGTGTCCAGCGCTGTCGGGTCTTGAAGCTGGGCTGGAATGGTGAGGACGCTTGTGGGATTCGAGTCACAGTGCGTGAGCTTCAAACGGAACCAGATCCGCGCCGCTCGACCGACCTTCAAGATTACCGTACGAGAAGGGCAGACGCGCCTACAGCCCCACGTGACAAGAAGCGCCGGCCGTCCGCGGAACTGGCGATTCACGTGATGCTGGCCCCAACGGCCTAATTTTTTCTTCTCTTTCTGCTGTGGCCGCAGACGGCAGAGAAGGGCGCATGACTCGCTCGCTCGCTCGCTCGCCGCTGCCTATGCTGGCTCCCCGCAGAAGGACTGCTGCAGGTGCATCAAGGCTTGAAGCTACGGTCAAGTCACGAGCACAGCCAGAAGGTGATGCAGGACAGCAGCTTTCACAAAGCGAAGGCGACGAGCATATCAACTCTTCCCCAACCCTCATCAGACCGCTCCATCATACTGATTGATAGTCCTCAGGAGCGAGCACCTTCGACATCCATCTCAATCCCCTCGGAAGAAGAGTCCAACACAAAATGATCGCACCAGCCGCTCGCAACCTCGCTCGCGCTGCTGCTCGACGAGCAGGCGCAACAGCCTCTGCCCAACAGCTCCCGGCTGCCGGAGCTCGATCGCTGTCCATCTTTGCAGGCGCTGCTCGTCCCTCCACCGGCAGCATCAGCGCCCAAGCCCAAGCCTTCTCAGCTCCCCAAGCTCGTGGTATCAAGCACATCGACTTTGCCGGTGATGGTCAGGTCGAGACTGTCTACGAGCGCGCCGACTGGCCCATCGAGAAGCTTCACGACTACTTCAAAAACGACACTCTCGCTCTGGTGAGTTTGCGGTTACATGGCGCGTTGGGATTGAGAAGGTGCTGCTTGCGAAACACCGAAGCGCTCTCGAGCTGGCATCGTGTGAACATCGCTGTAGTCAACGAAGCGCACCTCAAATGCTCTGCGCCCGTGAATCTTTCCTGTGCCTGGTGGAAGGAAACTGATGATGCTCTTTCTACTTCGTGCAATAGCTTGGCTACGGCTCTCAAGGTCACGGTCAGGGCCTCAAGTGAGTTGGAGCGCGCCGAAAGGCCTTCAGTATGAGCCAACAGCTCCCCTGACCCTGGGAAAGCACTACCGCGCTCACGCTCTCTCTCTCACACTCTCTCTGTGCAGCCTTCGCGACCAAGGCTTAAACGTCATTGTCGGTGTGCGAAAGGGCGGAGCATCTTGGAAGGAGGCTCAAGAGGATGGCTGGGTCGAGGGCAAGAACCTGTTCGACATTGACGAAGCTGCGCAAAAGGGAACGTACCTGATGATGCTCATGTCTGACGCTGGTGCATCCGACGCTTACCCCAAGCTGCTCAAGTACATGACCAAGGGCAAGACCGTCTACTGGTCTCACGGCTTCTCTCCCGTCTTCAAGGACCAGACCGGCATCGAGGCGCCCAAGGAGTGCGATGTCATCCTTTGCGCGCCCAAGGGATCCGGTCGCACGGTCCGCACCCTCTTCAAAGAGGGGCGCGGCATCAACTCCTCCGTCGCCGTCTACCAAGACGTTACCGGCAAGGCTCTGGAAAAGGCAGTCGCCATGTCCGTCGCTGTTGGCTCTGGCTACACGTACGAGACGACGTTCGAGAAGGAGGTGTACTCTGACCTGTACGGAGAGCGTGGATGCCTGATGGGAGGTATCCAGGGCATGTTCAAGGCTCAGTACGATGTGCTGCGCGCCAACGGCCACTCGCCAAGCGAGGCCTTCAACGAGACCTGCGAAGAGGCTCTCATGAGTCTCTACCCCCTCGTCGGTGAGCACGGCATGGACTACATGTACAAGGCCTGCTCCACCACCGCCCGTCGTGGTGCGCTCGACCTGGCTCCCGTCTTCGAGAAGGCCCTGAAGCCCGTGTTTGAGGACCTCTACGCTCGCGTCAAGGACGGAAGCGAGACTAGAAGGACCATTTCTTTTGCCAGCCAAAAGAACTACCGCGAGCTCTTCGACAAGGAAACTGACGCCATTGCTGCTCAAGAGATGTGAGTTGTACACCTTGCGAGAGTCTTTCGAGCAATCGTCAGACTGACTGACCTGCACGCGTCTTGTCATCTTCAGGTGGCGTGTCGGACACAAGGTCCGCGCCCTCCGTCCTGATCGCGCAGGCAAGGACTTGTAGAGGCTTTTAAGACGCACCTGCCAAGCTCTGGAGAGCTTCAAAGCGTGATCCGTGAACCTTTTCAAGGGAACAGGACTTGGCGAGGAACTAGGCGGGAATGGCGAGTCGTGCTAACCTGGCTGAAACGGGCACCTAGCACGCGCAAAAAACGTTGAATCGATGCACTTCAACCGGGCGAAAACGTCTTCTGGGGCGAGCGTGCGAGCGACTGGCACTGCTAGCAATGCTGGACTCAACAAAGAACCACTCTTGTATTGACATTGAATTGGGACAGCAACTTTTGGAGATGACGCAGGGCAGATACACGGAACAAGACCGCCTGAGACGTTGAAGGTGCAGCGTCTTCGCTCCCAAAGGTTGGTGGTGATGTTCTGCTTCAACAAGGGACTTCAACGAATCGCGCATCGTCAATTGGGCGCCATGAGCTGAGGCTTGAGCCAATTTTCGGCCGTCTTGCCAGGATTCTCGACGGCGTTCTTGTACTTGTCAAATTGACCGCTCACTTCGGCCTCTTTCTTCTTCAGCGCAGCTTCAGCAGCCTGTTCAGGATTGGTGATGGTATTGACGGTCTTTTCGTAATGTTTCTGCAGCTCCTTCTCTTTAGCGTCGATCTTGGCTTGAGTCGTCTCGATGGGATTGGCAATCGCGTGGGCTTTGGCCTTTGCCTCTTGCTCCTTCTGTTTAGCAGCTTGCTCCAATTGCTCCTTTTCGTTGTGAAAGTGCTGCTTCATGTACCGGATGGGATGCTTCGCCACATCCACATAGTGATCGAATTTGGCCTTCCAGGAATCGCCAATGTCGCCGATGAAGCTGGGGCTTCTCCCTTGCAGGGAAGAAACGAAAGTTGACGACTCCTCGAATGGGATGACACTTCGCTGCTGCATCTCCATGCTCTTCTCAGGCTGCGGTATCGGGGCAGCTCTGGCAGCATACAATCTGTCAGGATGGACAAAGCAGAGTGAGAGAGTGAGCGAGCGAGCGAGCGAGAATCAAAGTCGCCTGCATGGCGAGGGTCAGACACGCGGACACTCACGAAGCAGCAGTGATAGCGGTGGAAAGTGTGAAGAGGCGCATCATGCGAACAAGTCGAGTTGTAGGTGATAGACGGACGGTATGTTGCAGATGATAGCAAATGCGTATCGTTGAAGCCCAGCTTGGATGGTTTGTTCAAGACCAGCTTGAAGACGTTGAAAAATCACAATGACGGGCGGGGAAAAGATTTCGTCGAATCGGTGGGGGGAGGGGAGGGGGCGCCATCCAAAGCGAGTACCTTTGTACTTTTGCAACGAGCTCACAGCACCGCACAATTTCGCCTCTCACAACAGTCGCGAGTGGCAAAAACGGATCGAAGGATGGCTCTGTTGGGCTGCGCAGATTTGTGCTCGTCCTTCTCGCAACGCCTGCGCGCCCTTCGCAGCTCGACACACATCGACCGCAACGCGCCTGTCTCGGCTCGACACATCGTCATACACGGCTCTGCAATATACACGCCGGGCCATGTCAATCAAGTGTTTAGGTGATCACAAAGGTCTTCTTCAACTCTGGCGGAATCGAGGGCGAGGCTGCACCGGAACACCCTCTGGCGTAACACTACGCCTCCCAAGGCGTAGTCCCAACGACAGGCAAGCGTGAATCTGATTCATATATTCGAGATCGACGTGCAGGATTTGCTCGGAAGTCTGCGCAGTCGTAATAGACGAAAGGCGTTGACGGCCGACTCCGTCTCGACTCACTTTGCCGTCGAGGAACACAACACGACCGCGCTAGGCGTCGTAGGCGAAATCAAGAAGCAGTGCAAAGACGACATTAGTGGGCAATGCAGCTCAAGCTCGTCCGCTGATAAAATGCATGGCGTCATAGAGGGTCTTGTGTACAACATAAGAGTGGTAGGTACGGTAGGGCGCGCAACTTAGGCCCTCGCTCGCTCACGAGAAAGCTGCGATGGTTTCCGAGCAAGATGAGGCGAGGCCCTCTGCTCCAGGTGCTTTGCGCAGATGACTGGAGAGCGAGTCGCAGATGGCCGCCAGACTGCGCAGAGCAAAGGAAGCGGGAGGCAAGCCGAAAGAGTCTGTGAGCGATGCGTCAACGCCAGCAACTCAAAAGTAAGACTCACTCTGCATTTCCATAGACACACTCGACATTGATCTTGCAAGTCGTGTTCAAAGCGTGCTCAGAAGCCAGCAGATCTTTGGTGGAGTATTCAGCTTCGATGTTGAGCTTCGTGCGCTGCCTTGTAAGAAGCACCTGCGCACCCAGGATGATCTTGTCCGATGCTTCCGTGGTGGCCATGCTAGCAGGGAAGCGTGCACGAAGATGCTCGTATGCAGTTCGTACCGTGCGAGATCTGGCCCAGAGCCTCGCGATGCGGCGAAGCACCTGCGAAAGGCAGCCTATAAGCTCAAGCTCAAAGGAGATCGGCAAGAGGCAACATTGCACGTACCATGGTCACATCTTTCGACGGGCTCGCCTTTGCTTCCGATGCCATGGCCGAGATTGCCCAAGCAGGAATAGATGCAGCGTCCAGCCCAAGCACAGGAGCAACGTCTACTTCTTCAACCTCGCCGACCGCATTGAGCAGCAGCGTGACGTCGACCGCATCATCGTGGCACATGTACACTCTTCCATCCTCTTCTTGTCCTTTGAAGCTCCACAAATGAAGTGCTTCCAAATTTTTCACCTCTCGAAGCAGACGAGCCGCTTCGGACGTGGTGAAACCCTTGATCTGCTCGTACTTGGCTTTGGCCGCGCTAATCGCTTCCTCGGTAGCTTCCCGCTTGGTCGCAAACTCCTGGAGACGCGACTCTAAGCGCGATAGCTCGCCTTCAAGCTCTGCATTGCGTGCTCGCATGCTCTCCAGTTGTACACTGCACAAGCGGGCAAGACCGGCGAGTCAGCGCGCCGGCTCATCGAGACGCTGAGGGAAGCCGGTCGAAACTCACCCTTGCTCCGTGATGCTGTCATGGTAGCCGCGCAGCTCAGTCGGATCAGCTTGGGCGATGAGCTCTCTGCGCTGCTCCTCGCGATCCAACTCTTCTTGCAGGGCTGCTCGACGCTCTCGAAGCGTGGGCAACGTGTGGCTGGCCATTTGCGTGTTTTCACGGTGCACAACCTCAGAGTCCACTGCGAGGCGGGCATAGATTGACTGCAAATGCTGGACGTTCTCAGCTCCAAATTGATTGTCCAGACGCCAGCCGTAGTACTTTTCCAGTGTCAATGCCCGAGCAGCTGCCTTTTGCAAGCGACACTGAGCCTGTGACAGGGCGACCATCTAGAGTAAGTGGGGCGCATTCGTGCAACATCAACATCGAACCACTCACTTCAGCGTCCTTGCGCTCAGAGTTATTCTCGCTCAACATCTCCGCCACAAATGGCGGAGGATTGCGCGTGAAGGCGCTCTCCTTGCGCTCAAGCTCGGCACGACCTTTCGCAACGTGTGCCTCGAGGTCATTGCAAGCCTGAAAGAGCATCGCAGACGGAGTTTCAAGCCGATTAGCATGGCGCTTCTCTATTGAGCCCAGAAATGAGGCAAACACTCACCGATACGAGACTCTCGAGCATCGGAACGGCGCCTGCAGCTACGCTAGCATAGCGCATTATTTCTGGCTGCGCATCGCTCTCCGACTTCTGTTCTTCCGGCTCGACCTGGCGTCTACTTGCCGAAGGTACGCTATCATGGAACGTGATGCCAAGCTGAGCAAAGAATTCTGACATGGAAACCTTGCGATGCGGCTCATCCATGTCGGAAGGCCCACTCTGGAAAGAGACGGACGAGGATGCAGAGGTGTCTGCCTTGTCGTGGATCTGAGCAATGGCGAAGCTGTGTCGAGGACGGAGACCGACGGACGGTCGAGCATTTGCGATTCCTTTACGAACCGGAGCGCCCAGGGCGCGCGGCTCCCGAGCAGCCCCCGCGACATCTTGGTGCGCTGGTGCTTTCGCTTCGGAGGAAGTCTGCCCTTTGCTCGCAGGTCCAGATACGACGACCCTTCTAGCAGGTGATCTAGCCACTGATGCACCGTCCTGCTGGCCTTGCAGCGTCGCTCGCAGCCGTGAGGGTGTACCAAAAGAGGGTTGATGAGCCTTGGACGGAGTGGACGGCGCGGCATGTGGCTCAGTGCGTTTGGCAGGGGAGTCAAGCCGACTCGCTTGCCTCTTGGTCGACTCGTCTTCCTCCTGGATTGTAGAGATTCTGCGCTTGTTGTTGCTAATCGCGACATTCTCCTGCGCCGCGGCAAGCTCTTCGCCGGGCAAGTCGCGCTGAGCGCCAGCCATCCCCAAGGGATCCTCATCCATGCTATCATCGATGCTGTCATCTGCCATCGTGCCATCTTCTCCACGCGACATCTCCATGGTCATGGATCCGTCCGCATGTCCGGAGGCAGTGCTTTTGCGCGAGCTCTTTCTGCCTTGATTGGTAGCTGCGGAAGAAGAGCGCGAGGATGCGCTAGGTCGCGAGCTTTTACGTCTAGAAACGCTCGTCCGCGGCACGCGCTGCTGATCGATAGCTTGCGTGATCTGCATGTCGCTCCCGTCAGCATCTGCAAGGGCCGCTTCTTGGCTGACGTCCATGCTGTCGTCGACGCTAGAGGCAGCCTCTTGCGCCATCTCGTCACTGACATCGTCTTCGCTCTGAGCGCCCTTGATCAAACCAAACGCTTGCGTGATCTCCATGGTCTGAGTGCGGTCGTCGGGTTGGACGTTCTTGGTAGCTTGAGTCAAGTCCATCGAATCATCCATCGATTCGTCCATAGACTCGTCTTCGTCGTCCTCGTCGATTGGCATGACTTGTGGTATACCAGAGTCTCTCCTCCTCCTATTGAACGAGCTGACCTGGCCTTGTTCAGCTTGGGGTGTTCGACCAGAAGCTGAAGCGGTGCTGTGAGAAATGTCCATGTTGCTATCATCTGCCCTACTGCGCGCACTGCTGCTGCGATTCAGGAACTCTGTGGCATCGGCGGAATCGTCCATGGAGCTGGACATGTCCAAGCTCGATCCTCCGCGAGATAGGCTGGACGCTGTCACGTCGTGAAGCTCTGCGGCGTCCATGCCAGCGGGTTGAATGCGCATCGTAGGCTCGTCACGCTCGTAATCTCTACGGGGGTCCGACGCGATCCAGGGGTAAGCCTGAGCTCTGCCGAGTCACACGGGAGGAAATCATCAACGGCCAGCACTCACGTCCTCGACCTCGTCTTGCTGAACGTGACTCTGCGTTGACGGACTTGCGTAGCGGTGGGATGGGATGAATCGATGGGTCTGTTGTTCTCGCGATTGTCCGCCAAACCAGCAGAGTCCTTTGCCTGCGCAATGTTCGGCACCGAGCTCGATCGCTCGAAGGGCTGCTTCTCGCCGTCATCATTTCGTCCGGTGAAGGCGGAAATGACGTTGCTGATGGAGTTCATCATGCCCGTCGCTTGGAGCGGCATGGTGATGTTGCCCCGCAAGCGCTGAACGGCAGGTGAGGGAACGACTCCAGTGGGACTGGCAAAGACTTGGGGTGCACGGCTCCGGATGGCCGACTTGCGAGGAGCAGGCTGAAGCGCATCATGGATGCATGTTCGCATCGGTGCATCAGCTCACTGTAGCTGTCAAGTCGAGTCCAGCCGAGCCGAGTCGAGCCGAGCGACACTCACCACATTGCGACGACTTGGAGGAGCGGCCTCTTCCCTCTCCTCTCTCTGAGCATCCTCGATCATCGACGCGAGCTGGTTGCCACCCACGCTGTGAGGCCGTCGAGCCAGCTTGGGCTTGCTCTGCTGTGAAGTTACAAAGCTCGTGCCATTGCTGCTGCTCGTTCCCGCAAGGGATCGACGAGCGCTCCTCGGCGAGCTTCGGGTGCTATCCTTGACCATGCTGCAGTTGTACGCTTTGACGATGAGGAGTGAGTGTGATGGATGCAAGGATGGGGAGAAACGTGACCTCGCTTGACTGACTCAGACACACCAAGTGCCACGCACAATCGCATGTGATGATTCACGACTCAAGACTGTGAATGAAGGAACGCATATGAGGACGAAGCGATAGCCAGTCGCGCGCGTTGTGTTGTTCAAATTCGTGGGTTGAGAGGTGTTGGGATGCGCGCGTGCGCGTGTATAAGCGCTGATGATCACTGCAAGCCCGCTAGACGCGACTGGTGCTCGCGCGCGCGCGTCTGCGAAATCAAGTCACGTGACCATTGCTGAGTCGATCGAGAATGATCGAGCGAGGTGCAGCGCGGTGGATGATGATGGAGCTGTAGCCATGATCGCAGGGTGGCCGGTGCGCAACCAAGACACCAAAAAATTTGGAATCACGAATCTTTCGCGCGCGGTCGTGTACTACTTGCTGTATGCGCACATCGCAATGCAGCAAGCAGCATCAA